CACACACACACACACACACAGGCGCACGTGCACGCCCTCATCCACACCGCTTAGTTTGGAGGTCCCGTGGAAGTTGGGCAGGGATGACGAAGCGGAGCTGGAGCAGCAGGGAGGAAGGAGGGACGGTGGAGGTCGGTGTCGCATACCGCAAAAGTGCAGACCAGAACAAGAACCGACCTCTCTCACGTAGTACAAGATAGCGCAGCGGAAGGCTAATATACCAATGATCTGAACAATCAATGTTGCAATGCAGACCAAACATACATCATCATCATTATGGTGTGAAGGGGCCTGGCGCTCACACAGGAAGAATGTGCCAGTCCCCAACCATACACAGACGAAGAGGAGGGGGTTAGACGAAGAAGAGGGGAAGGTGGGAATGTTGTCAACACCAAGTCTTCGCAGTCCCAAATAATCCCTCGTCCAATGTCGAGTCTGAATCCAAAAGTCGTCAAGTCCCAAAGTCACCAATCTCTCTCTCTCTCTCGTAGTCTGCAGATACTGAGATAGAAGAGGAAGAAGAAGAACTCTCTCTCTCTTTCTCAGTCCGGTACTAACCTGTGAAGGTGGCGCCTTGTTGCAGGTACATCGAAGACGAAGCTGGAGCTATGGCGCCACAGGTAAGTCTCCCTGGCCTCGGCCAACCATCTCTCTCTCCAACGCTACTCTAGCTCCTGATAGCGCCCAGCGCTGAAGACTACTGCTAACGCTACTACTACTACTGCAGCACTCCTCCAGAGTGCTGCTGCCGAATCCTGAAGACTGCCTCCTGCCTCCTGCACGTGAAGTGTCTGGGAAAGTCCCTATGAACTACCTGCAGCCTGCAGGGCGGGCCAGTCTTATATAGTGCTGGCCCGTCCAGGCAGCTGTTCTTGCCAATGCCAAAACGTGCCAGACCCTGGCGTTGAAGTACAAACAAAGGTTGTCTTGAAAACAGGCCCAAAATGGCCTGTGCTAAAACCCTGGTCTGGTGCCTAAGTTTCAGGGCAGGTCGACTTTATGTGGGCCTGAAAATGCCCCTCGTTTTCAGGCTTTTAGGCTGAATCGACACAGGGCCTGTAGGCCCTCGTTTTCAGGCTTT